GATCAACTAAATTATTTTCCTGTTGAATTTATTTTATTGAATAGTCTTTTTTTTTTTGTGAAGAAATCTGTGTAAAGTCGAACATAGTATAGAAAAATATTTTTCAACAGTGGGTCAAGTGATAACAAGGTACCACGCTTCTTACACTCTTCGACATTAGTTGTTTCAGCAAGTAAAAGATTGTGTCAAAGTTGCACTGATTAACCTATTAATTTACTTATCTTCAAAATGTAATAGGGGTGTATATTGCCTAAACTGAGTATTGCTTTTATATTTCCCTCCGTTTATTTCGCTACTTTAATCTTAATTTACACAGAAATTTCCATGTGACAAGAAATAATAATCCTATCAAGCTTAGTTCATGTCACATTGATAACAAATATTATTCGTTTTTCTCTTTTTGCTATATATGGAGATGGAATGTCGAATTTTGATGGATGCCAATTGTTTTAGATTTCTCTAAATTTATAATTTTTTTTACTAGTTTATCTTAAATTACTTTTCGCTGAAATAGAGTAATCCTACCTTCAGCAATTAATTTTATTAAAACGATTTTGAAAAGTTTAATTGGTTAAATTCCATACATAGAATTATTTTAATATTTAGTCCAAAAATCCAATCTACCTCCAACCCATCTTTCGTTAACCTTACCATCATTGCGTAGCAGACAAAATCATTTTAAATTCACCATATCGAGTGTATCCAAACTTAAATTTTACGTTTAGAAGTATCAACTATATAGAATTCATTTATTAAGCATTTTAAGATTATGAAAACCTTTATTCTTTTACCCATTTCTTATCTTTCGTATTTATCCTAGTATTAATGTACTTACTGCAGTACTATATAACCTTAATTTTGTAATCTTTAATTATTGCCTGTCCTGCCATAAAGATAATTCCAACTAATTTAGTACTACTCTCTTCCCGAAAAGCTTTTTCCATTCTATTCTGAACCATTACTTTAGTTATTTCTTTCTGATTAGTGGATGTGCTATCGTGATTCTTTCCTACTTTTGTAATCATGATGAAGATTACTACACATCGGTTATTTTGACCCATCCGTAACCTATAACAAATATTTTACTCCACCAGTCGAGAACCAAATTTTACAACAGGCTATACATTTTGTACAACCAAGGATATCTATTGTTAAAACATCAAAACTAGTTATTGTAACTAGGCGGATTTTAATTAACATTTGTCAGTGTAATAGTTTTATATATGTACTTTTTTATTCTGCATTGTGTGCAACTTGAGCAGGGATTAAGTAGACATCCCTAATCCAAGAAATTTTTCAAAAGTGAAGTCTATATTTTGAGTTTCTGATGGCATTAGATAATAATCTTCCGTATATTCAATCGTAAAGGGGATGAAACAGCATACTATTTTCTAGTTCTTAATCACATACTATACTATACATCTGTGGTAAATCACTTATCCTATATACACTAGGTTAAATTATTTGAATACATTTATCGCTGATTGTGGCCCAAAATAGTCGGTGGTAATCAGGATTTTGCTTCTAAAAGATCATAAACATTCAATTTTTGAATGCAGATAAACAAAAGTTCAAGCGAGTTCTATAACAGAATTATTCTCAACAGACGAGTAGACAGCTTTCAAATTGTTTGTTACCTATTGCTTAGCATTTACTCATTAATGGTCGTCTGTACCCTTAAAAAAATGCAGCAAATATAAATCCGATTGTCATAATATATAAGGTGGAGCAAAAGCGACACATATACAGTTTAAATTTTAACTCTTTTGAAACAAATATTTACGTTTCTATTGTCTTCGTAGCCTGTCCAGTACATTGTTCGTGCTTTAATTTGAATTTCGATAATTTCGTTATAAAGCTCCTTTGGATTCTATTAACCGCAACGGTGACCAAGGTACCCGAAGTTATCAATCGTCGTTTACACAGCTGCTTGATGTTGGTCTTGTCTTAACTAACACTTACCTGATGTTGATTATCATACACATTAAAAATATGAATTATTAATCTTTAAAAACTTTAAATAAATGTTTGTAGTATATCACTAGTTTCACAAATCTTTTTATATATATATATAAAAACTACATCAAGTGAGCCTATTTTTTCCTAACTAGGAAAGCTGAGAATTTCACAATTTTCGTAGAATCTCACTTTTATAAACTTTCTACTGTACTTTTATAATCACCAAAAACTACATATATCAAACCTTCGTTTAAAAAACCTGTGTAACCTTGAAGAAAAGTAAATTAATTTCTTTCTACTATTAGATATCTATACATTACTAGTGGAAAATATATAACACTGTTGCGATCGTTATCAGGCTTTAAAAAAACATTTAATACCAACGTGTGTAATGAAACCTGCCATATACGACTTAAAAAAGAAACAAGAAATATTATCACCGAATTATTTTAAATATTCCAAAATGAGAGATTTTTAAAGTGTTTAATTTTACTTTCATATTGGGCTATTGCAACACTGTCTCTGAATAACACCAGATTCAACACTAACATACATTCCCAGGTAAGGCATCATATAGATAAATGTTTTTTCCTGGTATACAATAAAGAAAAATGATAAAAGATATCATATAATACAATATTATAAAAGAAGAATATCTGTAATTCATACGTTTAATTACACTTTATATTAATGTAAACGTTCTGAATATAAACAGTTACTCTCCACAACAGTGGCTATTCCCCTTCGAACACAAATTTGATATAAATATCTTCATATTACATTGGATGTAACTTTAGTGAGATTACACTGTTTCTATAGCAGATAATCAAACTGTTTTAAAATTAACCCGTAAATTACAATACCCGCAACCACATGGCAATGATAATAACAGGACATGTTACAGAAGTATAAACACACCCCCTTCTTAATAGCAATTTTTATATTTCGATGTACCGCAGACACATGCTGATACCAGTACTTCATTTTTCATTTCTGGGTTGGCAAGATCCTACCTACTTACTCAAACCTCTACTTTTAACATTAGCTTTTGTTCCAATACTCACCTGTTTACTGGTAACAACTTTGGGAGACCACGATACAGAAAACTGTCGTTATCTAACTATCGTCAAAATCAACAAGAACTGTTCTTGGTGGTACTAATACTTACCCTTTAATTACCCTAGCCAACTGGCTAAATCCTACAAAACGTCAAATCTAGTTATCAATCCATAAATCAAGAGATAATATAATGATTAATTTCCCATATAAAAGGTCAAACTTTATTACTCACACACCTGTTTTTACTTTTAGCCTTAGGCTAAACAGCATAGAAACGTTACTATCCTGATTAGGTTTGTATTATAAACAAACCAGACCTGATAAACATTAGATCGACTTCAATGTTAAAAAAGAAAAATAAAGTTAAGCCTAAATACGATCACATACAACAATGAAATAGCATCTTTTATAGCCTAAGGCTAATATAATATTCCAAATGGCTATCAGAATAAAAGCTAACCACAGTTTATGAGACTAAGTTCCCTCAACCTTTACCTCGGTACCAATCTAGCCATCGGCTAATGCTAGTCTCAAACCCGTGAACAGTAGCTGTCGGACACAATCTTACCTCCAATCCTAAGCCTTGTTTCACTCGTACAAAATCTTCCTTGTGTTAACTCTCCACCGGTCGCTTTCATAATACAATGACTTAACCTAGCTTGACCCATCGGTGAACTCTAGCACCTTGGATGCAGCAAATAAATGACACGGACACACAGCACAATATTTTTATTTATTACTGTTTCACCAATACTCAAAACTAACACAGTGTTACACTGATACATCATCACAAGCAGATAAATACACTTGTATAAATAAAATACAGCACATCAAAACACGTGTTAGAATCAAACTAAACACCTTTAAAGAATATAAAAACAAAAACGTCTTAATGTACTAAAGACCTCTTTATAATTAAAATACAATAAATAACAATAATTATCATTAATAAAAATTACACTATAAAAATGTACACGAAACATATGATATTGTAGAGGTAAATTACATATTAATGGACCAGTTTTAAAGAATAGTTAATAATATTTAAACAAAATATTTTGTATCTTTTGGCATATTCATTTAGTACACACACCCCCCTTTTTTTTTCACAGATCTAGACCCCCACTTTATTAAGCCATACATTTAGATCATCATACCACCCCCACGTTATTTTACAAACAATAGAGGATATAACTCAGACAAAAAAATATATATTTATTTAAAAAACAACAACATATAATCTTTGAAATAAGTTTAAAGACTGATTACTTTAAAAGTAAACACACATTACCTGCACTCACCATTTATAAATCACACAAAACTATGAAAGTTTAGAATGAAATGTCCAAATATTTTATAAAACCCTTTAAGTATCCACGGTAACCAAGATGGGGCTGACATTAATGGGTTTTATTAATTCACCAAATTTAGAAAGGATAAAATTAATTAAAGTTATATCATTTACACACTTGCTCACTATCCCTATTTTTGTAAAATCAGGTTACAAACCTAAGGACTTTTGGAAACAACCGCGGTTGAAATGAAACAACCACAAAGTTGATTCACGCGGTACTCAAAGGGTTGAAAGTATATTAAAATGAAACTTACGTTAACAATCACACGTTAATTAAAACCGGATGGAAAAAAAAAACCCATCCTTAATAAGAGATACGAGGTGTTTTAGACTAAATCTACCTTCAGCCATCCGCTGTTGTCCACCAGGGGAGAACACATTATTAAATTGGTTCCAAATCTTCAATTTTGTATCGTTATTACCAATAAACTTTATGCCACGATTAACCGTCCCGTGGCTAACATCGTAAAACAAACACAGATAATTAAATTAAAACTTCCATTATATATAGATGTTTTTTAAACTCTAGGTTCCTGGGTGCCAAAATACCCGAAAATCTAGTTATTCAAATATTTTTTTTTCCATCCAGTTTTAGGACGGTTGTCGAACTACCAACATCTTAACCTACCTTGAGAAGCTTGTTGAGGCGAAGGCTGTAAACTCATGTCGTGTTGAAAGCTACTTGGTCCCGGGATGGCCGATATTCCCGACGTGTCCATGTAAGGTAAGACTGCGTTTGTACTACTACTATCTTGTGAGTGGCTGGAAACACCGATGGGGGGTTCTTCAAAAGACACTAGTGGTTTAATATCTGGAAAGGTTTTAAAAGACAACGTCAAAAACCTGAACGTCTCGTCGTACGAACTACATCATTCTTCCGAGACTAACATCACAGCCATAATTTTATAGTTATGGGGAAATAAGTATATTAAACTTACAAAGAGTTCATCAACCCCCCCCCCCCCTACTAAAGAATCAGTTAACACAAAGACCAGCAACAAGCTATCTTTATGGACCCAAATAATTTAACATTTACAGACATGTGGGCTGTCTCATACACTAAGCTATCTTTATGGACCCAAATAATTTAACACTTACAGACACGTGGGCTGTCTCATACACTAAGCTATCTTTATGGACCCAAATAATTTAACACTTACAGACACGTGGGCTGTCTCATACACTAAGCTATATCAGTTAATATTTTATCACTAACTAGATAACTGTTATATATTTTAAATTTACTACAAGTAGAAAAATCAAGTAACACTTTTACTAATTAGTTTACAATGTTAAAAATATTTAAACCCTAGAAATAAAGAAAAAATAAACTAACACTTTAGTGTCTTGGTATCTGTTTGGTTTATTACCTATCCTAACACTAAAGTGTTAAATGTTGGGATTGTTAACGATCCTGACATTAAAGTGTTAAATGTTGGGATTGTTAACGATCCTGACACTAAAGTGTTAAGTGTCAGTATCTGTTTGGTTTATTACCTATCCTAACACTAAAGTGTTAAATGTTGGGATTGTTAACGATCCTGACATTAAAGTGTTAAATGTTGGGATTGTTAACGATTCTGACACTAAAGTGTTAAATGTCGGTATCTGTTTGGTTTATTACCAATCCTGACACTAAAGTGTTAAATGTCGGTATCTGTTTGGTTTATTACCTATCCTAACACTAAAGTGTTAAATGTTGGGATTGTTAACGATCCTGACACTAAAGTGTTAAGTGTCGGTATCTGTTTGGTTTATTACCTATCCTAACACTAAAGTGTTAAATGTTGGGATTGTTAACGATCCTGACACTAAAGTGTTAAATGTCGGTATCTGTTGGGTTTATTACCAATCCTGACACTAAAGTGTTAAATGTCGGTATCTGTTTGGTTTATTACCTATCCTAACATTAAAGTGTTAAGTGTCGGTATCTGTTTGGTTTATTACCAATCCTCATTTAACACTTTAGTGTCAGGATCGTTAACAATCCCAACATTTAACACTTTAGACAACAAACATACCTTCCATAGTATTCTGGTTCCCCAGACCCGAGCCAGATGAATCTGATGCCGAATGTAAAGATGTGGGAACGACTGCCTGACTTAATGAGTTTGAATGTGGTAGTTCTAATGCTGAAGAAGATGGAAGAGCTAATGATGTGGACACCGATGGCTGAGTGTGAGATTCGTACATAGAGACCTGTAATTTAGGGATTAATTTATCACCATTTCTTGTAACAACAAACACATTTATCCATTAAAAAATATATATATATAAAAACAAAGAGTTCAGACACTTACACCACCACCATCTGTAGTTAAGGTAGCCTCCATGAGTCGTGATGGTTCTACATCAAAGTCACCGTCCGTTATAGATGGTGGTTCTTCAACCGTAGCACCTGATTCCTGCTGTGAAGGAATGGGAGAATACATAGTGTGTGATTTTTGAGAATAGCTTTGGCTGGAAGGAATAGGAGGAACCCGTGACTGGGATGCCGAAGATAATCTCTGATTAACGTCTGGAGTGTTATCATTCACGCCGTCTCTACTGATATCGCTGATGATTTCTGGAGAATCCGGCTCCTTAATTTTGGATGGCACGGGTTCTTCCGTATCGCTCTGACTCGATCCCGACCTCCGTCTCGGTCTGCCTCTCTTACGTTTGTGTACCGGAGGGGATTCCGTACGATGATGTTGGTTCCCAGAAACAACCGGGGTAGAGTTAACGGGCTGTTGTGTAACTTCTTGGACATTATGTCTTTCGGCTTGCTTTTCCCCACCCACCTCGGCAAGTCCTTTGACTTTCAGAGTCTCTGCCGTTTTGAGAAGAGCAGACAGCTGATCCTGAGACACATTCACTTCACCGTGATATATAAAATCAATAATGGCTTTCATATCAACATATCTCATGTCTTTCATTATCACAATTGGATGTTTACACGGGTTATCGACAAAAAGAGCTTGGAAGAAGGGACTGCATGCCGATAACACTACTTTGTGTGCCTTTAAACTGTGCCCTTCGCAAGCTAGAGTTACATCCACTAAGGCTTCGTTACTTAGTAACTGTTCAAAAACCGAGAGCATGTTGGAATGGTGATTGTTCCATTTCAAACAGAACTGCTGGGTCCCCATCTTTCTATGTTCACTTTGAATCTAGATACAAAAACATTTTTATCTGTAGACATTACTAAATTTCTTGAACAAATCATACACATATAGATATATAGCAACTCATTCATGGACTAATCATAATCGTGAAAAAATAAAACTGTCTTAACTTTAACCTAGTACCTCATATAATATTTTCAGAACATTATCTCCAAAATTGACCATCTTGTGAACTGCAGTAACGTTTTTAGTACCTACACCCATTATGGTAAGATTATAATAATTAATTACTAATTTGTTCATTATTGGCCTATACAATCAATCACTCAAGTTTAATTACTAGTTTTTAAATTTAACCCCATCTTTTAATAATCTACTACCACAAAACCCTTTTTACTCAGGAATTCCAATAATAACTGTAGCAATTACTAGTTTACAAAATCTAGTTAGCAATTACCTAGTAAAAAAAATGTATTTAAAAATTAGACTTAGCCTAATACTACAAACAATGACCTTTTTTTTTATGAAATGTCAAAACTTACGTTAGCCTGTAGTATGGTTAGTATTACGAGAATGAAATATATAACGTTAAATCAATTATATAATGCGTAAAGCTAAAATGAAAAAAAAATATCATTCAAACCCACCACCAGTTACGGCGTCAGAATATACTTATAATTTTATATTATAAAAAATAAAGATAACGTATGAGCTATCGATGTGTAATGAATCACTCATACTTGTAGCTATATCTTAGGTAAACCGTAAAATCGGTAAATTAAAGGCGTTAAGACTAAAAAACAGTAAACTGCATATACACCAATTTTCATTATCAATAGATCGACGAGTAAATTTTTTTCCTTCCAATTCCACTTAAAATAATTCATAAATAACAAATTAAATATCTTACGCAGATTACTTTTTAACAAGTGATGTCATATCTAACCTGCAAGTGGTATAGCTAACGCCAACCCTCGTATTCCCTCAGTTAACGTAACGCACGTTAACAAACCGCCTTTTCCAATTTTGGCCGCCATATTTGATCCCTAACATTCTGTACAAAAATCGGCTACGCAAAAATTGTAAGTAATCTTCCGGTATCAAAGAATAATATAATCATAAAGATGGGTCACTATAAAAAGAAATGTGAAAGTTAATACTCAATAAAATATAATACGTTGCATAAACTACAAACCTTTAGTCAAACCCAATCGCTATTTCTTGCGTTCTCTTGCAAAGCATTAACCACCTCCTTTGGCGTTATCCTGCACAAAGACGCGCGTCTCTCGTACAATGCTACCTTACGTACATGTAAGTATGCTACGGGGATTAAAATGTAAAGAAAAGGGTCGTTGTAGCCCGGACAATACCCGTTTCGACCAATCATAACCTGCAAGAACATACGTTATAATTCATTCCAAGAGTTAATTTAATATACAAGGATATTGTGATTTTGGAGACAAGCACAAAAAAATCTGGGTTATCGGATATCATCAGTTCTCATTTCGTGAACATAACGCACTGATAAAGTTATAAGGATGAATCCTTATTTAACTTATTTTTGAAATGTTCAGCAACAACTAAACTTTCATTATACATATATTTTACTGTAATGAAATTTATAATTTTGGGGGGCTGTCAGTTATATTTGAAAATTCAACAAGTGACAAGCTCACAGTGTTTGACATTTTGTCTATTTGAGTGTAAGGATTTTTTTTATAGGCAGAGAATCTAGCTTATATATCGCATCACATGAAACACTTATTTTAAGTGACAAATACTATGTTAAAATATGAACATTATCCCCCAATGCTACTAGTTTAACCTAACCAGAGTTGATAATTCCATAATAATTAGTGAACCCGTGGGCATATGGCCCACATTTACAGGGCCACTATAATGCAAATTTAATTTCTTTAACCAATTTATGAACGGTAATGAGCCTGGCATGTTCACCCTTTTAGCCGTGGGAGCGTTAAAAAGTCACGATCAATCCCACTATTCGTTGGTAAAAAGAGTAGCCCAAGAGTTAGCAGTGAGTGGTGATAACTAGCTGCCTTCCCTCTAGTCTTTCACTGCTAAATTAGCGACTGCTAGCGCTGATAGCCCTCATGTAGTTTCGCACGAAATTCCAAACGAACGATAATTAGTAGGCCTACTTATTTATGTGCTTTAATGTAAATCAATGCCAAATTTGGGGTTCGCTTTCGGATAATCCCCGTAAAAGTGATCTTGTGAAATACCTAGGGGTCCGTAAGAGGTTGGGTGAAAAGTTTTTCCTTTGTGTAAACTTCGGGGCCGAGACAATTCGTTTGGTACCATGTTGAAGTTGGTGATTCCAGCAGTTTAGGAGAAGGGGTTTTCGGGAAATACCAGGGTTCCCCAAGAAGTAAGGTGGAAAATTTTAACTTTCTGCAAATCTAAGGGCGGAGACTATTCGTTTGGCACCATTTAGAAGTCGGTACGACCAGCGCTGTCCAGCAGTTTAGAAGTTACGTAACACACAGAGACACTGAATGTTAGTTATTATATAGGTTCTACTTTACAATGCTTATTCTGGTTCTGTTATAAGTATTTCACTTTAATACACGAATCCTCATATAATTCTGATTAGAATAAGATAGTTTCTGATATTGAAATGATATCTCAAAACCGTTAAAATGAAAACTAAAAAATAATAATTTTACACACAAATAATACTTCAAAGAGAGGAGGTAGATAAAAATTTTATACTATCTCGTGAGGTTATTATGCCATCAGTTTCATACAGTAAAAAATAATAAACTACTAATAAGTGAAGTTAACAACATCGAATAAAGAAAACTGTCTTCTTTTCTTTATTTACCAAAACCTGCACTGCAGCAATGTGTAGAAGACATTGAAAAGAAAGGGGCTAATGGACAAAAAAGGCACTTTTCAAGCATCGTAAGACAAGTGTGTTATTTTATTTTATTTATTTGGGGGAGGTATTAGAGAAAACAATGGGGATTGTGTGTTGCCTCTAGTACACATAAGTTAAAAACAATAGAAGCAAACAAATCCTCTTTTATTCTCATTCAATTGGTCGTAAAAACATTCTTGCGATCTAAAATTAAACAGTGAATTAATTCGTATTAACACTTAATTCCATATCAATATTATTGTTTTACTATAAAGGCCTACAAATCCCCGTGTGCCATTCATTTTAACGCTGATTTTGTTTCTAATAACTCGCAGTAAGCAGGGTATGGAATCAGTTGTATCTTTTTTCGTAGTTTTTACTACATTTTGTTACAGAGCACTTTGGAACATAACGGCAGGAAATCAAGGACTACAGCCCAGCCTCCTGTGTACGTCAAAGCTACGAAAAGCAAGAAAATATGCGGTCTGTTTCGGATCGAAGCTAATCATAAAAGTTCTTACCTCTCCCTACCCCCCTTTTTTTTGAGGCTACTAAGCAACTGTTTATACAACCAACCAACAGACTCTAAAACACGTTTGATCAGTATTTACCTTAAGCAATAATAATTTTATTGGAACACCTATAAACAGATTTACTCTACCTTAAGATTTTTTTCTTTTGCATGTTTTCTATCCTTTTTCAGGCTAACTGAACAATATGAAAATATGTTAGATATTGAATTAAATGAGCGCTACAGGTAAAAATACGAATGTGTCTATATAATGTGATTTCAGCTGTCAAGTCAATGTAATATTGCCCCCTACTGGCACAGCGGCATGTCTGCGGACTTACAACGCTAGAATCCGGGTTTCGATACCCGTGGTGGGCGGAGCACAGATAGCCCATTGTGTAACTTTGTGCTTAATTACAAACAAACAATGTAATATTGCTTGCTTGCTTGTTTGTTTATGGCAAGGCTACCACGACTGCCTGCAGTTGTCCGTAGCATTGAACTGCCAACCAAAGGGAAGGCAACCGTCCGGCAAGTACCCACCGCCAACTCTTGGACTACTCTTTATCAATGTATAGTGGACTTGACCGTCACATTATAATGTCCCCCTCCCCCACGGATTAAAGGGTAAGTATGCCAGGCGCCGGGTTTCGATCCCCCTACTCATAGATTGTGAGTCGAGTGCTTTAACCGCTGGGCCTGTAAATTGTCATGTCCATATATAATGTTACAGAGTAAGAGAGATGAAATGACCACAAAGTATGCAATATATTAATTACACATTCAATTTATCATAAATTGCAAACAGTTTAATTTTAATTGTAGATTCCATTTGACGCCCCATAATTCTTAGACTAAAAGGTTAGTGCCTACATTATGTGATCTTATTCATAACAAGTAATAACTTTTTTTTGAAAAAAATAGGGATGGCAATGCCAAAAAGTACAGAAACAAAGTAGAAATGAATACACAAAACCATACAAAAATCCCTATATAAGTAGCCAAATATTTTAAAGAAAAACTCTATCTACAACTAAACATTGAATTCCTTTCATTTACATGAATTCAGGTTTGAATAAAAGCATTTAAACTGAATAGTGTTATAAAGTATTACAATGGCTAATTCCTATAAGCTTGTAAAATTGACTCAGTGGCTACTTATATAGGGATTTTTGTATTCATCCACATAAAGTTTAAAATATGCTTCGTACGCAACGTAATGTGAAGGATGAGTTTGTTCGCTAGGCCACTAGGGGAATAAAATATTACACAATTTCTGTTGTAGGGGGTAGCGGATCCGACGCTTTGCTAATATTTTATGACGGAGTAAAGAAGAGTTGATACCATTATGGAAGTGAAAAAACGACAAATGAAGACAGTTGATTTTGACACTTCTTGATACCATAATTTTAAAAACTCACTATTTTATAACTTTCATTTATCAAGAGTGTCCCCTGGTGGAACAGCGGTAAGTCTTCGGTTTTACAATATCTAAAATCAGAAGTTCGATTACTTTTGGTGGACACAACAGATAGCCCGATGTGGCTTTGCTACAAGAAAATGCACACACATTATCAAGAGTTCGATCAAGAAAAAAGGTCTCAAGATCATAGTGAAAGATGGCGATTATCCACAACGACAAGGCGTTTATACAAACAAATGTTGTGTACAGCTACATTTCTAAATACAACTTAATATTCTACTTAGTAGGTGTTTGTTTCATTCATGTCCAAACACATAATAGAACAATGGCATTATTTAAAGGATTTATTTATTTAAAACATATACCTTTCTCATACATATAATGCTGTATATGTGAAAAACATCTTTTAGCTTTGGCTCATATGGCACAGCACACGTTTCGCATGCGGGAGGTTGAGAATTCAATCACGTTTATATCAATTTTTTTCCTAACTAATGTTTCAGCAGTGAAATAATCTTAGTTCATACATTGTACGCGAAGCACGAGTTTATCTCTTAGGATATTATATTAAATTAAGAATTGAGACAATTCAGAATTCGATTCCCGCGCAGATAATCCATTGTGTAGCTTCATACTAAAACAAACAAAACCGCCAAGTACGAAGTTTAAAGAAATGTTTTTATTCCATGGAATCAAAAATAACAGTCTAGTGGGACCAAAGAATAATAGTAACAAATTCTTGGGTGTTTCTTAATATAATATTATTAAACTATAATAATTAAAACACTCCGTGAACGTTCCTTTTGTGAGCATTTCTACTGTTCGACCATAGAAATGACTTGAAGCAGATGTCGCAGTAAAACTTCTTTCTTTGAGGTCTGTGAATAGCCATGTGCTGAATCAAGTTGGACTTGTTTGAATATCTCTTGCTACATATAGGGCATACCAGGTCAGAAGTTACGCTCTTATTTGAAGATGGCGCTGTTTGGTGCACGTAATAGTCTAAGAATAGGGAAAAAATAACTTATTTCTGTCTTCATCCAGTATGATGTATTGTTGCATGCTTTACAGAAATATAATAAAATGGCTATGAAATGGTGTTCCGTGTTCATATAAGATGTAAAATTAGATACAACTAAAAACACAATAGTAATATAGAAAAACGTCTTAAGTAAAATTCCGGATTTTTAAAAACGTAGTCGTTTAAGGATGTCTTAACAAAACAATGGTTTAATTGAACACCAGTCTGGGCAACTATGAAATTAAAGGCTTAAAAACTTTCAAAGATGTCGGTATTATCCCTCAGGAACAATATGTGATAAACTTGAATATTTCAAGAAAGGCTTAAAAGCCAACCAATATTATTTTTTAATAAGTTTCAGAAACAGGACGGATATTAATTTAAACTTTTTTTTTTGTATCAAACAGTCAGGCAGAATCGAATATATATTTAAAATGATGTATATGTTCACTGCAGTCTTATCTTTAACACATATACAAAAATAAATGCTACCAAATAAAACTTTTAATCCTATTTTTAAAAAGTCTTAATGCAGCGAGTGCGATAATTTATTCATGTCTAAAAGTTTAAATTACAGCTCCACGTGATTAATATAACAACCTAGTTTATATACATGGTTGTTCTATCATGTTAATGTATACAAGAACATGATGAATATAAACATGGTTGTTCTATCATATTAATGTCTACAAGAACATGATGAATATATATATGGTTGTTCTATCATATTAATGTCTACAAGAACATGATGAATATATATATGGTTGTTGTATCATATTAATGTCTACAGAACATGATGAATATATATATGATTGTTGTATCATATTAATGTCTACAAGAACATGATGAATATATATATATGGTTGTTGTATCATATTAATGTCTACTAGAACATGATGAATATATATATGGTTGTTATATCATATTAATGTCTACTAGAACATGATGAATATATATATATATGGTTGTTGTATCATATTAATGTCTACAAGAACATGATGAATATATATATGGTTGTTATATCATATTAATGTCTACTAGAACATGATGAATATATATATATGGTTGTTCTATCATATTAATGTCTACAAGAACATGGTGAATATATATATATATATGGTTGTTGTATCATATTAATGTCTACAAGAACATGATGAATATATATATATGGTTGTTGTATCATATTAATGTCTACAAGAACATGATGAATATATATATGGTTGTTCTATCATATTAATGCCTACAAGAA